GTCCGTAGCAACTATGAGCCTTGATATTTCCTCTTGTGCAACATATGCATTGTATTGCCATATTGAGAGAGTTCAAGATTGTGGATTAAAATTAAGTTGAGTTTAAATTTGCCTACCTGATCCGGTTGAAGATGTACCAAACAGCCGCATTATTTGGGGTTGCTTCTTCTCCAAGTGTCGTCGCATCATCGAAGTCCCCTTCTCAGCTCCAATAATGGTTCCACGGAAATTACATACCCCACACAATTCTTCCCCCTCCCCATTTGTCTTTGGCCGTTTTGATTTGGTGAAGTGTCGCTATACATCGAGCACAACCCTCTTTGAAGGTTAGGGGGGTTGGGCCATGCCCGTGCCTGTTGAGTCGCAGCTCACTTTTGTTTGGCTGCACCTCGTCCTAGTCGAATGTGATTGTTGAATTGCAGTTGTTGCCTTTGGAGTAAATGATGAAAATGGATTCAACCCTTCCATTTCATCGGTGGATGGAACGTAAAACTTATTTGGGGATGATCCTCCGAATGCATCATTTTGGGAATCCATTATGAATTTATGATGAAATAATAAATAATTAAGTAATAATATGAATAAGAGATGATATTGAAAAATAGAAAAAAATTGAATAGTATAAATAAATAAATTATAATATGAATAAATTATAAATATAAATATAAATTGAATGAGAATTTGATTGGAGATTTGGAGTAGAGAGTAGAGAGATTGAGAGATTGAGTGGTGTGGAACAAACCCCCCCAATGACAGTTGGTTTCCAGCAAACGGTTATTAAATGAACTTTTTTTCTTAAATTTTGTAAAATTTTATTTTAAACCCTATAATTTTTGTTTATTTCAAAATTTATAGAGGGTTTTAGTAATTGTCCAAGAGGCTAAAAAAATAAACCAAAAGGATTTGGGCCCGGACCTGGGACTAGGCCTTGAATAAGGGCCTAGTGGAGGAACCAAGCCCTTCTCCTTAGGCCTGGTTCAGTTTTGGGACCAAGCTTGCTAGGACCAGGTTTTGGACCCGGTCCCAAATGTCCAGCTCTAATTTCAATTCATTGTTTTAGTAGCATTAGGATAGTATGGAAATGAATATCAAAGAGTCATTACAAAATTGAGTGATCAGATTCAACAACTTTATTACACTAATCAAATGGATATTAATATATGCCTTAATCATCCAAATGAGCAACAAGTCGTGCATACTTTAACTGAAGAATAAATCATTACTGGAATTAGACAAGAAGAGGAAGGAGATAATCCTAAGGATGAATATAGTACTGAAATACCAAAAGTTTCGTGCCAAGAAGCTCCAAACATGAAGTTAGAAATATTTTGGCTTCAAAAACGGTATCCATGTTGGCGACTTATTACGTACTCACAAGATAAAAGATATGATAACAACTCTAAAGCATAAATCATTGTCTCAAACAACTTTAGATAGATATTTTATTTCATCTTAAACATTTAATGTGACATAATTTTTTTTTTATAATATACATACAATTATTACTATGTAGAGACAAATTCCTTAAGATGGGACTTAGAAAAACTATAACTTATTACAATGTGAAATTTATTCTTATTTATAACTGGTCCAAGTTATGACCATAATTTTTTATGACTACATGAAGGTTATTTATATATGGAGTATCATTATAGAAAGGTTCTACTGTATTAAAAAAAGTGGATTTATATACGGAGGGCAGTTCTATAATTATTTAAATATATCAAGGGCAGTATAGTTATTTACCGGATCTGGGGCAATTATGTAATTATATAATATATCAAGGACAAAAAGGTGTCTTTAGTCACAAGTTTTAGTATTTTAGGATAATTATTTCCTTCCTTAATTTATTTCTTTTTTGTTGGTAAATTTTTCTTTTAAAACTATTTCAATGTATTTTTACTCTTTACTAATTATGAAAAGATTTGTACAATTACGAAATTTTTATTTACAAGAATATATATAATTTCTTTAAAATTAAATATTCGTTGATTTTATCTATCAATATTAACATGTACATATACTAACACCTGTACAAATAATTACAAGTATATGGATTTGAAGAGATTGAACAACACATTTAAGTTGATTAAATATGAGTTAGTGGATGCAGCCTTGGATTTGCAATGTACATTAAAGCTTAATTAATTAATAATTTAGTTTAACATATATATCTTGATTAACAAAACTGAATTGATACTTTGTAATAGTAGAAAGTACATTCTCTATTCCATATCAAAAATATCTTTAGGATCACATTTGCTGTGTGTGAATAAATTGTGATTATCAATTAAGCACATAAAATTATTGGAGATTAGTAGCTAGTTTGGTCCCTTGCCTATAGGTATCTTAACCATATTTACCGTAATTATTTTTTTAATCTCGTTATTTAATATATGTAGAGGCAGGCCCGGCTCAAGGGGTAGGCAGGTGAGGCACAAATTTTTTATAATTTTTTTTTATATATAAAAAATAAAATGGTGTTGATTTTTATCCAGGCTAGAAAAAAAAAAGATCAAAATTTATTATAAACTTTTACATATATTCCCATCCAAAGTTGACAAAATAGTAAATTTGTACCTCTAATTTCATATATTCTAATTTAGACCCCTAAATTAAACATTGAATTTCTTTTAACAATCAAAGGCTTAAATAGTTATTTACATGTCTCAAATTACTCAACCCCAATCCATCCCAAAATTCAACTTTGACACAAATTATCTCCACCCTTCTTCCGGCCAGCCATTTGGAGCTGATTCCGATCAATTTTCTCACCAAAATTGACCAAAAATCATCACATATCATTTTCCAAGTGTTTCAGCCTCGATAGTCCCGATTGACTGATTTTTACGAATCCATAACCCAACTCCACCGCGCGTGACAGCCATTTCTAGCCTTTTCAGCATGTACCCGACATGTTGCCTTCCCAAACCACCCCATCTCCCCCTCAACTCTCTCACCAAAATCTCTATCATACCTCATCCATTATCCGTCAATCGCGGCCACCGATATCTTTGGGCTGCGACTTTCAAGCCTTTTCTGGCCAATCGGCCATTGGAAATTACCTATTTCACCACTCACGCTTCTCCAAACATGCTCTCAAAAACCCTTACCAAACTGACCCCATAGTTGTGATTGTTGTTCACCTCTCTTAGTGATTTTGTATCTCAAAAGGCCAGAAAAATAATTGAAAAATTTTTTTTAATATATGCTTATTAATTAGAAGGCTCCCAAAGTAACTCTTACCTATGGTCACAAATGTTCTTGAGATGACTCTGTGTAGAGATAGTATTTTCGTCCGGAAATACAATAAAAAGCTAACTTAAAATGTGGTGAATTAACTACGTATATAATATTATTTTGTATAATAAAATAAATGACGTGTAAATACGACAAACTCGACCACTTTCAACGTCATAATTATCGTTCAATGGAAACGACATACTCCTTCTCTCCTCAATTCTATCTTTAAGATCGAAGCAATATGACGTTTCGTGCCCGACTCTGGTGATAATTACAGTTCCTCAAGGTCAAGGCAGGATACTTTATAAGGAGGAGGTGGCGTATTCTCTCAGGCATTTTGGCTACAATAGGTGCCCTAGATACCTCGTCTGAACCTTTCTTAACGTCAACATAACTCGAGAGCAAAATTTATATATACAAGTGATCATAGGCTTGGGGAGTGGAGACAGATGGTTGCCAAGCCACTACTTGGTCTCCCCTGTGACCAACCCTTGATGGACGATCTTCTCATTGTCATTGTATCTGTCGCTTGGTGTGTACATTGTACACTGAGTTTTACATATTAAACTTGAAGCTAAGGTTCTGATAAACAGCAATAAGAAAACTGTAGAGCACAATGTGAATTGTATTGTATTCAACGTAGATGGTGTTAGTAAACAACAGTCCAGAATTGGCTATAGGCTGGAGAATCAGAGTCTTCCCTTGATACAGCCTTGATCGCTTGGAGATAAATGCCGATGGTCAATGGCGTGGTTCATCACATGGATTGAGACATTGAGTTTCAAAAATTATATAAGTCGCTACAAGCAGTTAATAAATTTTATATGTTCAAGAGTCCCATTCTCATACCTACTCCACGCGTGAAACAAATTTTTTATTCCTGATGCTAACTTTTGATGTTTATGTTAGCAGTATCGCTAGAGTTGAGATTCTCATACCAAACCAGCACTGGAGCGAATTTTTTATTCCTTGGATGCTGTATTTTTGGTTTTATGTTAGGGTATAGCTAGAGTAGGTGCATACTAAGCATCCATTATCTTCAACAGCTTATTCTCGCTCTCTTCGTTTCTTCTGAGAGAAAATGGCAGAATCAATTCTGTTTGTATTGCGACTGAAGTTCTGAAGAGATAGGCTTCTTGTGGTCGGGAAGTGTCTTTGTTGTGGAATCTGAAAGTGATTTAGAAAGCCTGAGGAACCCGAGCAGAATCAAGCCGTTGCTTGGATGCTGGAAAAAGCAGGCACACATCATCAGCTGCGTGACTGGCTTGGGAAGCTTAGGATGTTCTCCTTGATGCTGAGGACGTTTTAGAAGAATTCGAGTTTAAAGCTTCGGAGGGAAGTGGTGAGACAAAAGAGGAGCACATTTAGAAAGGTATGTCAATGCTTTTCAAGCTCTAAATCTGTTGGTTTTCGATATGAAATTAGTCATAAAATCAAGGAGATTAGAGAAAGGCTAGATAAGATGCAGGTGATAGGAGAGATTTACTCTTAGCGAGGGTACTCCTGCTGAAGATGGGCATGTAATTCCAAAGGAGAGGGAGATCACTGATCCCTTCTTGGGAGCTCCTTATGTTATTGGAAGGGGGATGATAAAGAAAGATTATAAGCATTTTAATGCAACCAACCAAAGGAGAGGGAGTCTCTGTCATTCAATAGTTGGAATTGGGGGTTTGGGTAAAACCACTCTTACTCAAATGGTTTACAATGATGAAAGGGTAATGATTTCTTTTCATTAAAGATGTGGACATGCGTGTCAGATGACTTCGATGTTATAAGATTGATGAAAGAAATTATTAAATCTGCAACAAATGATGATTGTAGTAAGTTAGAAGGAGGTGAAATTCGCAAGCGGTTGCTGGAAATTTTGACAGATAAAAAGTTTTTGCTTGTCATGGATGATGTCTGGAATGAGAAGCCCCACAAAATGGATGGATCTGAGAAAATATTGCTAAATGGTGTCAATGGAAGTAAAATTATTGTGAGCACACGAAGTAATAGAGTTGCAGAAATAATGAGCACTGGTCCCTCCCATTTTCTACAAGGTCTTTCCAATGAGGAATCCTTGTTATTATTCAAAGAAGTATGCGTTCAAAGATGGAGAAGGGAAAGATTTTCCAAGGCTCATTGAAATTGGGAAGGAAATTGTAAGAAAATGTAAAGGAGTTCCATTGGCTGTGAGATCTTTAGGGAGCTTACTTTATGCAAACACGGACGAACGTGAGTGGTTGAAAATAAGAGAAAATGACATCTGGCAGGTGGATCAAGTTAATGAAGACATCTTACCAGCATTGAAATTGAGCTATGATCATTTACCATCTCCCATGAAGCGATGTTTTACTTATCTTTGTTTGTTTTCGAAGGATTATACTTATCTCAGTGAGTATGTAGCCCAATATTGGATAGCGCTTGGACTTCTTAAAACCTCTGACAAAACTGAAGAGCTAGAAGATGTTGCTGTTCAATACATGAAAGTTTTATGGTCAAGGGGTTTCTTAGAGGATTTCCGGGAGTATAGTTTTTATTGGACATTTAAAGTGCATGATCTTATGCATGATCTTGCAATATCAATGACAAAAAGTGAGTCCGCATTCATAAATTTAGGAAGCCAAAATGTTGATGGGAAATTTCGGCATTTTTCACATGGTGACACAGAGTTATGTGGTGAAGAATTTCTACAACTCATAGTTAATAACTCAAGGAGTGTTCGAAGCATTGTCTTTCCAGCAGCAGATAAATACGGAGATGCGGGTATCATTGGATCATTTATTAGTGAAAATATATCCAAATTCAAGTACCTCCGGCTGCTACACTTGTGTAGTATACTTTTCGAAGTGTTGCCAGATTCTATTGGTACATTGAGACATTTGAGGTACCTTGATCTAGCTTGGAATTATTCATTGAAGAAGATCCCTGAATCTTTTTGCGAGCTACAGAACTTGCAAATGTTAAACCTTAGGGATTGTTATGAGCTTAAGAAGTTGCCTAATAACATACAAAAGATGATCCGCCTTAGATACTTGGAAATAACCACACAAGAGGAGGTTCTTACAGAAAAAGGAATTGGATGTTTGAGTTCCCTTCAATATTTGCATTTACGTAAGTGCAAATATCTAGTAAGTTTGTGTGAAGGGATTCAAGGTCTGAAAAGCCTCCGAGCTTTGTATGTACGTAACTGTCCTCTGATCTCGTTACCAGATACTATCAGATACCTGACAAAATTAGAGATGTTAATAATTTGGAGTTGCCCTAATATTAATTTGAAGATGGAATTGCAAGAAGAAGATCATGAGTTGAAGCTGAGTCTTAAACGTTTCATAATTTTTAATTTAAATTCATTGGTGGATTTGCCTCAGCTTCTTCTTCAAGCATCTGCTGACACTCTGAAGTACATGCGGATTGAATGGTGTGAAAACTTAGAAGCACTATCAGAGTGGTTTCAAAATTTCACGTCACTTGAAGAACTTGAGATTACATCATGCCACAAATTGTCATCTCTTCCAGAAGGGATAGAACGCCTTACTTCCCTCAAGGAATTGAAGATTACAGACTGTCCTGCTCTAATTGAAAGCATCAGAAATGATGAGTCGAAGATTGCTCATGTTCCACTGGTTCGTCTTATTTAAATAATGCAAGTTTTTTGCAATGCCATTTATTGTGATACCAGCTTCTCTTGTTAATGCTGGTTTGTTTTCAGTGGGTGGTGTGTTGCTCCTTTTGTTTCAATTTTGTTGTATTTTATTATTTGTTATGCATGGATGTTGTTGTATTTTAACTTTTGAATAACCACTTTTAAGTGTATGTTGTTGTACTTTTTATTAATATATTTCCCTTCTATTTTCGAGGTTTTTTTTTTTCTAAAAAAATGAATAATTATGGTTTATGTTTATTTTTCTATTCTCATTTTGTTTGTAATTATAATTAGTATTATTAGTTCAAAATTATACTAATATTTATTTAGTGATGACTAATTTTATTATTAATGCAATTATGTAAACTTTACTGAATATAGATTTTATACTTGGTTCTTATTTGATCCAAAACTGAGAACATGAAGATTGAATTTAATTTTGGTTATTCTCACAAGCAATGATGGAAAAAAGGTGATTATTTTGGGAATATGTTTAATAGTTGACCCAATGTCTCAAAAGCCAAAAATTTGTAATTTATGTTGTAGTTAGAATTTCTTAGTGGAGTTTAACCTAAGAGGGGACAAAATAAATTCTAATGCAGAACATCAAATTTGTAATATGTCTAACAGCTACAACATTCTAATATTTGCATTTTGTGCCCAAGAGTTCCACTAAATACACGAATGATGTGTTTATATATATATATATATATGAAATTTGATTTGGTACATACATACAAAATATTGGAAATCTAACGTCATTCTTTCTGTCAACAAAATTGTACCTATATCTCTATTTTTTTTTTTTTTGCATTTTTTCCCTAAATTGATCCCTTTTTTTTTCTTTTTTTTTTTGGCCATAAATTTTTCATTTCTTCTCACTGCAATAAATTTGCAAGAATAATAACACTACCTGTAAAACTCACAATAAGGTTAAATGGCATCTAGAATGAGATTAGGGCTCGGATCTAACTCACCTGTACATGTTATTTGGATTATGCATTTAGCAAACAACGGTCGTCTCTTCTTTACTTTTATTAAGCAAAGCTTGAATAATTTCGCCAGCTTCATCATCGCCTTCCAAATTAATGCTCATCAGTTTCGTCACTGGTCCATGGGAGAGTTCCACCGTTGGTGTAGATCTCAGCTTTACCATTTTGCATGTTGGCTGGCATTTGATCTTCATTGCTGTGTTTATCTACAGATTTGGAAAGCAACAATGACTCAGAGGAGGAACCAGCTTCAGCAGATTTAAGCTTTCTCTTCTTCAACTCATTACGAAGAAAGCAAGCAAGTGTTACGTCCTCTCCATCTGATGCTTCTAAAAAGTGTTCAGAATAAGATCTACTTGAAGCTTCTGATCTTTTACACCCATCTTGCTGACAAGAAATGCTTGCAACATCCTGTCGTTCCTCTGACAGCTCATTACATCTTTTCCTTTTGTTATTTTGCTTTACAGCCTCACGAATACTCTCCAAAGACATGTTTTCGCCTCCATTCCTCTCCTTGCCCAATTTCATGCATAATTTCTTTTTTGGTGGCAGTTTAAGAGGCCTCTTCTTCATGGACGGAAAGTTATGAAAGCAGATAGGCTCTCTGTGGGTCGGGAAGTGTCTTTGTTGTGGAATCTTGAAAGTGATTTAGAAAGCCTTGAGGGAACCCTGAGCAGAATCAAAGCCGTTCTGGATGCTGAGAAAAAGCAGGCACACGATCATCAGCTGCGTGACTGGCTGGGAAGCTTAAGGTGTTCCCTTGATGCTGAGGACGTTTTAGAAGAATTCGAGTTTAAAGCTTCTGGGAGGAAGTGGTGAGACAAAACAGGAGCACATTTAGAAAGGTATGTCAATGCTTTTCAAGCTCTAAATCTGTTGGTTTCGATATGAAATTAGTCATAAAATCAAGGAGATTAGAGAAAGGCTAGATAAGATCGCAGGTGATAGGAGAGATTTACTTAGTGAGAGTACTCCTGCTGAAGATGGGCATGTAATTCCAAGGAGAGGGAGATCACTGATCCCTTCCTGGGAGCTCCTTATGGTATTGGAAGGGAGGATGATAAGAGAAGATTATAAGCATTTTAATGCAAAACAACCAAAGGAGAGGGAGTCTCTGTCATTCCAATAGTTGGAATTGGGGGTTTGGGTAAAACCATCTTACTCAAATGGTTTACAATGATGAAAGGGTATATGATTTCTTTCCATTAAAGATGTGGACATGCGTGTCAGATGATTTCGATGTCACAAGATTGATGAAAGAAATATTAAATCTGCAACAAATGATGATTGTAGTAAGTTAGAAGGAGGTGAAATTCGCAAGCGTTTGCAGGAAATTTTGACAGATAAAAAGTTTTTGCTTGTCATGGATGATGTCTGGAATGAGAAGCCCCAGAAATGGATGGATCTGAGAAAATTATGCTAAATGGGGTCAATGGAAGTAAAATATTGTGAGCACACGAAGTAATAGAGTTGCAGAAATAATGAGCACCGGTCCCTCCCATTTTTTGCAAGGGCTTTCCACTGAGGAATCCTTGTTATTATTTAAGAAGTATGCGTTCAAAGATGGAGAAGGGAAAGATTTTCCAGGCTCATTGAAATTGGGAAGGAAATTGTAAGAAAATGTAAAGGAGTTCCATTGGCTGTGAGATCTTTAGGGAGCTTACTTTATGCAAACACGGACGAACGTGAGTGGTTGAAAATAAGAGAAATGACACATCGGCAGGTGGATCAAGATAATGAAGACATCTTACCAGCATTGAAATTGAGCTATGATCATTTACATCTCCCATGAAGCGATGTTTACTTATCTTTGCTTGTTTCCGAAGGATTAATTATGACAGGGTTACGTGGCACAATATGGATGGCACTTGGGCTTCTTAAAACCTCTGATAAAACTGAAGAGCTAGAAGATGTTGCTGTTCAATACATGAAAGTTTTATGGTCAAGGGGTTTCTTAGAGGATTTCCGGGAGTATAGTTTTTATTGGACATTTAAAGTGGCATGATTTATGCGACTTGCAATTCAATGGAAAAGGTGAGTCTGCATTCATAAATTTAGGAAGCCAAAATGTTGATGGGAAATTTCGGCATTTTTCACATGGTGACACAGATTTAGTGGTGAAGAATTCTACAACTCATAGTTAATAACTCAAGAATTTTTTTTTTTCCTTATTACATGGTGGAAGATTAACTGTTGAACTCCAGAGCAATGGTCATATTCCATGCAGCAACAACTAATTTTAAGAGGGGGCAAAATTGTCATTTCAATTCTACTATTATGTTCCAAATTGCCCTAAGAAAAGTGTTGCAACTCCTTTCTTCTCCTCTGGAATATATTCCTATCACTAAAATGTTTAATTATTATTTCATTCTTTAATTAATTTATTAATTTTTTTTTTGTCAAAATCAGAATTTGTTCATACAAAACCAGCTCTAGCTCCAAGTAAAACATACTTCTAATCAAACAAATACAACTGAAACACAAAGCAAATTAATGGAAGTCAACAAAATTATGGATCTCATCATACTGCCGAAATCCTTCAATACAGGCAAACCAAACATGCCTTAAACAAACTGATGGACAAGATCAGTTTGTATACACTAATATCACAAACCGATAATTCAGTATACATACAGCAATTAAAAACATCAAAAACTAAAAATAAAAAAGTTATATACGGAGGGCAATTCTATAATTATTTAAATATATCAAAGGCAGTAAGGGTGTTCAAAAAAATGCAAAAACCGATTAACAGAAAAAACGGTTCGGTTACGGTTCGAAAAATTCAAAAAACCGAATTTCTGGTTCGGTTACCTGTTCGGGAAAAAATAAAAAGCGGTTAACCGAAACCGGTTTTATAAAATATATATATATTAAATAAAAATAAATATTATATATTAAATAAAAAATAATAATATTTTTAATGTATTGTTAGTAGTGGTCAATGGATATATATAAATGTCTAATTTTTATTTGGATATGTATTATTTATATTTACAATTTAATTTAGGAAAAAATAAAAAAATAAGTTTTATAAAAAAAAGGGAAAACCAGTTAACTGAAAACCCGGTTTTCCCTCCAAACCGGTTCGGTTTCGGTTCGAGAATTTTCCCGAACCGAAAAACTGGTTCGGTTCAAAAAAGCGGTTAACCGCTTTTAAACACCCCTAAAAGGCAGTATAGTTATTTATTGGATCTGGGGCAATTATGTAATTATATAATATATCAAGGACAAAAATGTGTCTTTAGTCACAAGTTTTAGTATTTTAGGATAATTATTTCCTCGCTTAATTTATTGAACAACACCATTAAGTTGATTAAATATGAGTTAGAGGATTTGCAATGTGCATTAAAGCTTAATTAATTAATAATTTAGTTTAACATATATATCTTGATTAACAAAACCGAATTGATAAACTATGTAATAGCAGAAAGTACATTCTCTTTTCATTATCAAAAGTATCTCTAGGATCACATTTGCTGTGTGTGATTATCAATTAAGCACATAAAATTAGTGGAGATTATTTTTTTAATATCGTTATTTAATATCTGTAGAGCAGTAGAGGTTAGTATTTTCGTCAGGAAATACAATAAAAAGCTATACTTAAAATGTGGTGAATTAACTACGTATATTAATATTATTTTGTATAATAAAATAAAATGACGTGTAAATACGACAAACTCGACCACTTTCAACGTCAATAATTATCGTTCAATGGAAACGGCATACTCCTTCTCTCCTCAATTCTATCTTTAAGATCGGAGCAATATGACGTTTCGTGCCCGACTCTGGTGATAATTACAGTTCCTCAAGGTCAAGGCAGGATACTTTATAAGGAGGAGGTGGCTGTATCTTCTCAGGCATTTTGGCTACAATAGGTGCCCCCTAGATACCTCGTCTTGAACCTTTCTTCAACGTCAACATAACTCGAGAGCAAAATTTATATATACAAGTGATCATAGGCTTGGGGAGTGGAGACAGATGGTTGCCAAGCCACTACTTG